GGTTTGAGGAAGGCCTCAGACAGAACTGTAAGCATGTTCTTATGAGAGGTGAATGAACTGAAAAAGGGAGAAAGTGTGAAGCATGGAAACGAGAACAGCTTGTAGTACCGGCCCTCTCTATATTACAAATAGACAAAGAACCGGAAGGTGTATGTATGAGGTGTGCTCCTGGTCCTGAAATTCAGATAAATTGTGCTTATTTATTTATTTGTTTTTATATATCTAGACACAATATTTCATGAAGTGTTATCCAAATGCATTACCAATAAAAGACTAGCATCATACTTGCTAGCTTACTTGGTTAAAACACCTTTAAACACTCTAGCAGCAGCAATAGCCTGCGGACTTGTTCCTACAAACTTAACAAACCTGATCCCATAAACCTGGCTGTCTTTATTTGAAAGCCATGCCCAGATTTTTCTTGGCAGAAATATTCAAACTCAACCAGCCTTTCAGGTCTCACCAGATGCACTTTTGGGTTTAAGTTTACAGATCAGACGCACAATAATCATTCAAACTCATGACTACAACTTTGTGTATGCAAAAAGGACGAAAAGTGCATACACATTCTTTTCATTAGATTTATGAAGCTGCTCTAACACAAAGACTTCTATAAACGTCAACCTAAAATTTACCACATGTGCCTCTTATTTTTTTTCTCATCTTCATCCATTTACTAAACAGGGGAAGATGTGCATTTTGCCCAACCAGAGACACAGAGAAAACAAAACAAAAAAGGTGTCTTTGGTGTCAGTACCTAACAAAGAGAAGAAAGGCTACTGAAGAATAAAAAAGTAATGCAGGTTGAGCTGTGAAGTTCATACCAAAGGACTCTGGCAGAGGTAAAAAATAAACAGTCAGACTACAAACAAAAAGAAGCACAAAAGCACATCGGTTCACAGAGAAAAAGCAGATCATTATGCAAGGCTCCAGAGATTTTAGCACCAACACTGGCTACAAATATTATTAACATTAATAAAAGGACTGATACAATTAGATAGTAAATTTGCAGTGAGGTTTGTGAATAATAAATAGTTCATTTTAATATAGCTAGGTTTGCTAAGAATAGTCTGCTTTCTTTTATGATAAGTCCCGTCATGCTTTTTAAAATCTCCATTTCACATATGGCTTGGCTCACTTTCAAAAAAAGTCTAATTTTTTCCAAAATTCATATTTTATAAATATAATTTTATGCGTGGGGAAGAGAATTTTTAGCAGGCACAGTTTATAAATGAGACCAAAAGAGCTTTTCTTTGGTATTGTTCTTTTACCAGCCTGAGATCCTGAGTAGCCTGGAAAAAAGTTTACTTGATACCGACCAGTCTCAATGCCCTGCAGGAAAACAACCCCACAGCACTGTTTATGACTGCAGAGATGGTATTAATGACATGATGCCTAGTTTCATCCACACATTGTTGGTAATTATTTTTTTAAATCCAGCATTTAGGAATAATAGAGGATGTTGCACTCATGGGTACTTTCAATGCAGCAGAATTTTCTTGTGTCCTTTGCTTGATCTGTTCCTTGACGACATCTCTCCCTCTACCTGATAGTTTTATTTTTTCCTTCTAACGCAGTTGTCCTTTTGTATCTTTTCTTTTTTATCAGTGGATCCGACACAGTTGCACAGCCACCAGAGAATAACTTCAAAACCTGCTTTGCTTTTTCATTGCGGATAACTATGTGTACATTTGTGACTATAAAAATAAATATATCGATTTTAGGATCCAGAAAACTTTCTGGCCTCAG